GCGCGAGGTGCTGCTGCGACGCAGCCCGCGCGGGGCGGAGCGCGGCCGGGGGGCCCCCGAGCTTCGGCCCCTGAGGGGGAGCGCGCTGTCCCCCGGGAGCTCGTGCGCCCGTCGGTGACGGAGCTGTCCCGGGCCGTGCGGACCAATATCCTGTGCACGGTGCCCGGCTGCGGCAAGGTCCTGCCCAACAGCCCGGCCCTCAGCATGCACCTGAGCAAGGCCCACCGGGTCCAGGTACCGACCTCCCCCGGGTACCCACCTCCCCTGCGCTGGCCCCATCGCGCCGGGTACCCGCCCTCCCCGGGCTCGCCCCTTCTCCACGCTCCGTATTCCCCCCTCCCGGGCACGCCCCCCTTTGCTCCAGGTGCCCACCCTCCTGTCGCCCACTGAGTCTGCTGCTGGGAATGGCCCCGCGGGTCCGGGTACCGGGCCTTTTCTGGTCTCCCTGGGTAACACACCCCCCTCTCAGATTTTGAGTATGGGCTCTCGCCTCTCCTGGCTTGTGTGCGCCTCCTACTCTGGGTACCGACTCTCTCCTGACCCTTAGGTCTGGCTTCCCACCCTTCCATGACCTCCCCTGAGTGTGACCATAGGCATGGCTGTTTCCAGGTTGGGCCATCCCTGGGGATAGCTCCCTGGCTCAGAATACCCACTTTCCCCTGCCCTCTCTGGACACAGCCCACAGACTCTAGGTGCTGATTCTCTCTGGCCCTCTGGGTCTGGGTACATCCTTCCCTGAGCATGCACCTAAGCAAGGCTCAGGAGGCTGGGTATCAACCCCCTCTGTCCCACTGCATCTGTGTTCTGACCCGCCCCTGCCCTGAGCACATACTTTGGCATGATTCATCTGATCCATGTACTGATTCTCCCCTGCTTTCAGTGTATACCTGACTAAGGCCCACCAGTTCCACGTACTGAATCCGTCATGCCGTACACATGCACCGTAGCCCTGTGCAAGGGTCAGATGATTCAGGCATTGACCCCTCTGCAAGCCCGGCAGGTCTAGGTACCTAAACACTCATATTCTTCCTTTTCCCCCCACAACTACCTGAACAAAGTCTAGTGGATCCAGAAATCAGCTGATGTTAAATAGTAGTTAATTGAATAGTCAATTAACCTTGTGAATTGTTATTGGTTACTTGACTATTCTATAATTCCCAGGGGTGATGCTGGCAGCAGCATGGGGTTCTGGTGATAGCTGGTCCACAAGGTGAGCCAGTTTAAAGCCAGTTCCCCTCATGGACCAGCTGCTTGCCTGAGGTCCCAGAACTTGAATGAGCTGGAATTGAGCCTGGCTGGCTGCTCACCTGGCTCCTAATACACTTTAAATGTAGAGTTACAGTGGGGGGTAGGTCCTGGACCCATCACAAGCCAGGACTGTTAAAAAAATGTACTGGCAGGGAGAGGAATGTGTGTAGTCTGTAGCATTAATCTATAATCTTATGCTTATCTGTTAATCAACTGTACTATTACATCTCTAACCAAACTTCCCCTACATTGATCATGTACCTGAATGAGGCATACCAGGCCCATGTTCTCTACCCCCCAGCACCTAAGCAAACCTGACCGGGTCCAGATACCAAAACCCTTCTTACCCTGAGCATGATTCTGGGTAAAATCCTCCAGGTCCAGGTGCTGAACCCCATATTTTGCCCCTTCCTGAGCATGCACCTGAACAAGACTAACCAGTCCCTCCTCACCCCACCCTCTGTTCCCCAAATCCACTCACTTGATCCAAAATATATTAAAACTTCCTCCCACAAGTACAAAAAAACCACTGTGGCCTTTAGCATGTACCTGGGCAAGGCCATGGAATCAACCTCCATCTTTCCATATTTTCACACTCAAGCCCACCGCTATCCCTGATGTAAGCAAGTGTAGATCCAGATATTCCTTCCTGTTTGCTCTTATTCCTTACTTCCTTGGGATCTTAGTCCTGAGCATGCACCATGCCTAGCTATTCAGAGGTTTGTGTACAGTTCCAGCTGACTTTTTTGGGGGGTTCTTGACCCTTTCTTTGCTCCAGGTCCTGCCCCCACTCCCCCAAAGGCCCCATCTCTGCTCTCTACCCACCCCTACTCCATTCCCTCCCTCCCAGTGCCTCTGGCATGTAGCTGAACAACTGATTGCAGCAGGTGCTGGGAGGGAGGGGAAAGTACTGATTGGGAGGGCCTACCAGTGAATGCAAGGTGCTGGGGGGAGGAGGAAAAGGAGCTCATTAGTGGGGCTACTGGTGGGTGCTGACTACCCACTATTTTTTCTTTGATGCTCCAGACCCAGAGCACCCATGCAATCAGCTCTCTTGATATGCACCGAAGACCATTGATTCCAAGCACCAAACTCTGTGAGTCTGTACCTGAGCTAGATCCACTTGGTCCTGGTATTGACTGCCATCTCTGGTACCCACAGCCCTAATCCTTCATACCAGGTCTACATAATGACACCAGCTCCCAACCTGATCCCAAGTTTGAGCCTGAGCATCGACTATCATTAGTCCAGCACTGCATCTTGGTCCTTCTTGCCTTCTGATTTAATTCAGAGTCTAAATGGAGAGCTCCTATTTCCTGTTTTGAGGCCCTCTTCAAGGGATAGTTAACTTAATGTGTTTCTAAAGAATGCTATCCAATTGTTTCTAAAGCCACTGTTGTTCAAAGGGTACAATAAAGATTTATATAGGTGTTGATAGTAGGGATGTAATAGTATAGTCAATTAACCCATAAGAAAAATCTTATAGGTTAATTCTACAGACTACATGCATTTTCCCCCCACCCCTTACCAGTAAATTTTTTAGCAGGCTGGCCAGCAGCCCAGCTCAGTCCTGGCTTGCTCTTGGACTTACCCTCCCTCTCCCCGCTGTGGTTCTGCATTTAATGTGTAGTAGGAGCCAGGTGGACAGGTAGCCCGGCTCAGTTTCAGCTACCAGCTCAGGGAACTCAGACTCCTCCCCTCCAGCAGCGGTTTCCTGGGGACGATAGAATAATTGACTGACTGACATAAGAATTCATGAGGTTAATCAACTGTTCAATTAACTGTTGTTTAACTTTCCTAGTCGGTAGGCTGTTCTAGATTAATGTATCTTGTGTATTCTATTACAGTGGGGAGAGTGATGCATTTTCTAGTAACAATTCTTGAGTAAAATGCCTTTCAGTGTGAAATATGTAAACTTGTTTAACAGTATATGCATACTTAGTGTTTAGTCTATGTAGTATTTGTGCATGGTAACTTTTATATAAAAATTGATGTGAAAATGGGTACTGTTAAGAGTGGTTTGGGATTTTAACTCTGTAAAGATCTTTCATCATTTTATTAAATATTTATATTACTATGGCACTTGGGAGGCGTAGGCCATATTGTGCTACAGAATACAAACATAATAGTTCCCAGGGACCAAAACCTCCTATTTTCTCCACGAAATATGCCGTTAGATTTGTTTGTTATTCGTTAAGTTGGCCTATGTCGATCTCGGCTCAAACCCAGTTAGGAAAGAGTTGAATGGCATCAGCTTCGGTGGGGGGCACAAGGGTTATGTAGGGTTTATGTACAGTTCCAGCAGACATGATTCTTCTGAACATTCTAGGTTTGCGCTCTGAGGCGCACACAGGCTGTAACTAGACTGGCATGATTTTGCAGAAATACTTTTAACAGAAAAGTTTTTCCGTTAAAAGTATTTCCGCAAAAGAGTGTCTAGATTGGCAAAGATGCTTTTTTCAAAAAGTGCTTTTGCACAAAAGCATCCATGCCAATCTAGACGCACTTTTGCGCAAGAAAGCTCCGATGGCCGTTTTAGCCATCAGGCTTTCTTGCGCAAAAAATTAAGGTGCCTGTCTACACTGGCCCTCTTGCGCAAGTGGGCTTATCCCTGAGCGGGAGCATGAAAGTATTTGCGCAAGAAGCACTGATTTTGTACATTACAAAGTCAGTGCTCTTGCGCAAATTCAAGCAGCCAGTGTAGACAGCTGGCAAGTTTTTGCGCAAAAGCAGGTGCTTTTGCGCATAATCTTGCCAGTCTAGATGCACCACAGTGCTCCTGGACCCATGTAGGCTGTCACTTTGAACCAGTTACTGCAGTATTTAACTGTTCTGTTACAAGTTTGCTATGAGAAGGAATACAATGCTTTCCCCCACATAAATTGCTATAACAGCTCTCAGTACTATTAGCATAGTGCCATGTACACTCGTCAGGGTCCTTGTACTCGACTGTTCCACTTGGTAATAACTCCGGCTAGCACTCGAACACTAAGTGGCTGCGTGTCTTCAAAGTAAGGATGTTAAGTATTGAGTAAATTACTAATCGTGTAAATGACTACATGATTAGTTGATAAGGGGCCACTGTGGCCCTATAGTTTAAATGTAGCAGGAGCCAGGTGGGCAGCCAGCTTGGCTCCTGCTACATTTAAACTGCAGAGCTGCAGCAGGAGTAGGTCTGGGCCTCAGCACAAGTGAGGACTGCTTCAGTCCCGGCTCGTATTGAATTCTGCGCTGCGCCTCTGCCTCTCCTGCACCCCACCATAGAGACAGTGGGGGAAACTGTGAGTAGTCGATTCGACTACCCAATAAGCCCAGGCTTATCTGGTAAATGACTATTCAACTACTCTTTTACAACCCTACTATGAAGATTAGATTTTTGGAAATAAACTGCCATTAGCATCTATATCTGGTCATGACTGAATGAAAAATACTTTGGAGCTTCATGCAGATAGTTCCCACTATGGAAACTTTTTACCAACTTATGTAGAGATGCGTCTTCCATATTCAGCACTGTTTTACAGTGCTCCTCTCTTACTAAACCCTTTTAGCAATTAGTGCCAAATGGCTAAATAAGTGCCTAAAAAGGCAGATGTTCACAGAGTGGAAGTATCAAAAGTTAGTGATAGCAAAGTGTCTAGGCACTTTTGAGAGTTCTGCTAAGCGATTATCTGCTTCTTTAGGCACTTAATATACCTTTACAAAATAAATACATCTGACCCTTAGTAACATGGTGGTGATGGACTGTGGTGTAACAAGATAACAGTCTTGGAACTTAGTGGCTTTTATTTTTTTCTGACTATAGTTTATTTTGATACTTTCTGGTGTCAATGGAAAAGAGGTGACAGTAAATGCTTTATGCCCAAACTCCCTAAAACAGTTATTTGACACAGTTCAAGAATCCATCAGTTCTCTTCTTGGTAAATGAGACAGTTGACATCTCATTCATTAGATTCTTTGAACTTCATTGTATGGATTTGTGGAATTGGTACAACTAACTTGCAATAAAATTTCTTTTACCAGAAACTGTGTTTGAATGCTTAGGAAATAGAAGTTGCTTGACAAGCTTGATAGCTTTGATTATGTTGCATTCAGTGAACACACAACCTATCTTTGAATATAAATGAGCTCATTAATGCAGCATCTGTTTATTTCTGTTTGTGGGATTTGCCTCCCACCATGCTACAGGAACTTTCTGGAAAACAATGCTTTTTGGAGCTGCATGAACAAACACCCTACTGTTCTCACTTGAGATGTTTGAAGCAGAAGTTATAAAAATGTTGTGCAGTCCCATACTACCTCATGTTGTGTCTGTGGTCGGGTGTAGTGACCTTCTTTCTGTTCCCAAGATGATTTCTTGGAGATTTTTAAACTCCACTTCTGGTGTTGCATTATATTTAATTAACCAGGTTTAGCATTAAGTAGCTTTCACTGCTGTACTGGTAGGCTTTTATTTTTGTCTACGGTTCTCTGGATATAACCAAAATGTCTGTCAGGATTCTGAGGTCTCTGGTAAGAAGGGTGTATTCAAGCAGAATGTGATGTGTCCCCTGGATCCAGCATCAGATTAACCGTCTGCCCCTGGTACAAGAGGCTTCAGATCCAGTCAAGTCAAAGTCTAATTTCACACTGAAGAAGTTGGTGTCAGAGAGAGATCTTTGTGATTGTAGTGCCTGGACTTTGGCTCTCCAGCCAGTTCCAAGATCTGGAGAGACAAAAGAGGTCGGCTGTGTCTACATTGGCACCCTTTTCCGGAAAAGGGATGCTAATGAGACAAGTCGGAATTGCAAATGCCGCGGGGGATATTTAAATCCCCCGCGACATTTGCAATTCCGACTTGTCTCATTAGCATCCCTTTTCCGGAAAAGGGATGCTAATGAGACAAGTCGGAATTGCAAATGCCGCGGGGGATATTTAAATCCCCCGCGACATTTGCAATTCCGACTTGTCTCATTAGCATCCCTTTTCCGGAAAAGGGTGCCAATGTAGACACAGCCGTGCTGTTTTTGTCTTTGTGCTTCCTAGCAGCACTATGTTTTGCTCTAGTGCAGCTGAGTATTTTAGCCCAAATTTCCTTCATAAGGATAATAGCAGGTTACTTGCTAAGGATTCAGGCACAGGTGGCTGAAATCTATGGGAAGTAGAATAATATGATTTGAAAATAAGAGAATCTTCCTTGGAGAGGGAGAAGTCTCTTCCAGAGGCAGGGTATTCTGGTTCTGTAATCTATTACTATGAGCGTCTAGTGTGCATACACACAGAGTGAAAGTGGGACATGGAACTCTAGTTATTTTATTATGTTGGTTTCAGCAACTTTGATGGAAGTAGTAATAGAGATGTAGTCGTGTTAGTCTGGTCTTGCTGATACAAAAGACAGGACTATGCAGCACTTGAAAGACTAACAAGATGGTTTATTAGGTGATGAGCTTTCGTGGGCCAAACCCACTTCCTCAGATCAATTTGTGGAAGAAAATTGGCATGACCATATATACCAAAAAGATACAATCAAAAAAAGTGAACACATATAAAATAGACAAATCAGATTTTAGAACAGAGGGGGGATGAGCAGTATGATTGTTGCAGGCAAATGTAAATTGTAAAATAGAAACCTAGTGGTTGGAAACGCTAAACATAATGCAGTGCTGAAAATTAAAACCACATTGTTTGGGAAAATTATAAATATTTAGTGCAATGCAATGTAGAGGCTGGAACTGTAGTCCTATTTGTTTATGACTCTAAAAAGTTAAGCAGTGGCAGGTCTGGTAAAGTTACAAAACTGTAACTGAACAAATTATACAGCTCAAATGTTTATCTGTCAGTTTACATAGCAAAGAGCTTTCATCTTGAATGTCAAAGCAGGTAAATTAAATGTTGGGCAAAGTATTCTGAATACTATTAAAAGCAGACCCATTTGCTAGCTTTTAATAAAAATGTACTTTTTCAGGATGGAAAAATAAATGCATCAATAAGGAAGGGTTTGAAAACTACACAGAAATTCTACTGCTGTCCTATTGAAGGCTGCCCCAGAGGACCAAACAGACCGTTTTCCCAATTTTCGCTTGTAAAACAGGTATTTTTTTACAGTCTTCCTCAAAGAAAAGTACTAAACAGAAATGTGGGGACAACATGGGTTAAATCTTCAAGTGCATATGCCTTCCTATATCCAAAAGCACGTGTCAGACATCCCATTGTGTAAATTTGCGTTGCAGAGCAAGTGTGGAGAAACTCCAGTTTATGTGCAGATGGCAAATTTATATAAATGTCCATTTATAAAAAAAAGTCAGCAGTATGACTTTAAGGGCAATAAACTAGTTTAAAATTATCACTCATTTTAAATGGGTAAGAATTAAGGCTATGCCCTGTTTTCTCAAGAGTTCACTTCTTTACACAATTGACTTTCTAGTGAATATTAATCAGGATTATCTCTTTTTAAGAAAATTGCATTGTCACATTCTTTATGAAAAGTATTAAATTCTGTTGAAAACTCTACTCCTAACATTTGTGACTCCTCTTCAGTATCAGTTAGCTGTGGGATTCAGCAGAGCAGTGATGTTGTCTAGTGCCTAGAGTTCAGCACCATACATAATTGGTTCTGTTTATTTTCTCTGGTAACTTTGGACCCCTCAGCCTCTCCTTTGTTTTAGTGTGTTTTTTTTTGGGGGGGGGGGGGTGTTTTGTTTTTTGAGAGAGAGAGACTTTCAGGATGCAAATTTTGATTATTTAATAATAAAGCAGCAAGTTCTTTGAATGAGAGGCACTGTGGGCTTGATCCTGTGCCCAGTGAAGTCAATGGCAAATCTTTCAGTGGTTTTAGTATTAAGTGGCAGTTGGTAACCTGTAGCTACAAGATGTGGGAGTTGATGATGTAAAATCAATGACCAGATGTATGAGATAATAAGTTAATTCTCTAGAAAGCATTGTATGAAGACTTACTCCTGCATAAAACAATGAGAATCAGAAAGTTCAATGACAGTGTAAAATCATATATAAACTACTGGTTTTGTACAAATAACTAATTAATTATAAAAACTAATGTAAGCAACTTTTCATTGTTTATTTTTTGCTCTTTCCTCACTCAACTGGGACAGAGAAACTAGACTTGTCTTTTTGTTCTGTTGTTCTTGTGGCTCTAGAATAGTGTAGTTTGTGCCTCGAGCAGTGCAAGAAACTGTTTAAAACTTTTTTTTTCAGAGAAATGCCTAAATATTTCTATTGGACTCTTAAAACTTTCTGATTAAGGATAGTTTTCTCCCTCTTTTCCAAGATTAGCATATCTCCTAAATTATTCTGCATGTGCTAGCACACTATCTGTCTTGTAAATAAATGATCAATTAGCCAGTTCTTTTGTATAGCTAATTTGTCTAACTTTCATTGTGAATTTTAGCACTTTATGAAAATGCATGCTGAAAAGAAGCACAAATGTGATAAATGTAGCAACTCGTATGGCACAGAGTGGGACTTGAAACGACACATAGAAGACTGTGGCAAGACTTTCCAGTGTACTTGTGGATGCCCTTATGCCAGCAGGACAGCATTACTATCTCATGTTTACAGAACTGGCCATGAGGTCCCTGCAGAGCATAGGTAACAGTGAAGCTATTGTTAAGTGACCTATTTTATATTATGGCATCTTCCTATGTGTGCCTTGTAATGAGTTCCTTTCTGTTGATGTGTGGTGAACCTGTTTTCTGCCTATATGCAGTTAACTCCCACTAACACTAATGCATTGGCTGTTTCTTTCTTCCATTGCTTACAGTAGTTCTAGCTTTGTTGATGGCAGTGAGATTGAGTGTCTAGTAATAAGTAAGATCAGGCTTCTAATATCTATCACAAGAAATGCCACAAGCTGTGGTCTTCTTTTTGCTGGTGACAAGTATTGTGTTTGGTGATTTCTTGTTGGAACTGAGCTTTCTGCAGTCCTGTGAAAGTAGAAAGGGAATGCTCTTGAACTGCGAAGGTGCACATCCAGTGTAATTCTGTAGCCTGAAGTAATTCTGTAGCAATGTTAATTAAATATTTGTACTCTTAACACTTACACAGACCTGTGCATGTCAGCTGTGTTCATTAGTAAGACAGTACGACTGGAAGTATAAATAAATTGCCATGTATAAATTATTCCTAATAGTGTGCATGCATGAAGCAATCTATTAACTGAGTCTTACTATATCTTGTTTTATAGAATGCTGCTTGATTGTAATGCTGGTGCATTCTTATATGCAAGGATTAGAAAACGTAGGCTCTATTTTTTTAATAAGACTAATGACCAACTTTTAAAACTTTGAACATTTTCTTAAACACCGTAATCCGAAATGCTAAGAGATTATAGTACAGGTTGTACCTCCCTTAACTGGGACTCTCTGGTCCAGCAACATCTGTGATCCGGCAGGACCACAGATGATCCTGGACCACTTAGTCCAGGTATAAGGAGATCTGGCCACAGGTCAAGTGTGCAGCAGGGGGGGCTGGCAACTCAGCTGGGAGCCCTGGGAGGAGGAACAGGTGCCACAGTGGGTGGATGTGGCCCCAGCAGTTAGGCAGTAGCAGGGTGGCAGCTCGGCAGTAGCAGGGTGCCAGCAGCAACTGCGCAGCTCTGGCCCTGGCTGCGCAGCCCCATCTGTGGAGCTCCAGCCCTGGCAGCAGCAGAGCCTGTTGGAGCCTGGTGAGCTCCAACCCAGGGAGCAATGGCGGGGCAGGCTGGAGCCCTAGCGTGGAGCGGAGGGAGACAGTGTTTTAGCATGGGCCAGAAGGGGAGGGACTTCCCCTGGTCCGGCAAACCCCCTCAATTGGGATGGGTCAGATCCCAAGGGTGCTGGACCAGGAAGGTCCAACTTGTACTCATTTTTGGTTTAAAAAAAAAAAAGTTTTCCTCTTTCTCTCCTGAAAGTGGAAAAAAGCTCAGCGTCATGATTAGTTGTTCTTTTTAGCAAGTCACACCTCCACCCGTACCAGGTCTAGTGCTATGATTGAAAGAGTTGGGAGGGATGATTTTGTTGTTGTTCTCTAAACTGTGAGAGAAATTCTTAATGTATCATGTTTACAGGGATCCACCTAGTAAGAAAAGGAAAATGTGCACTGAAGTTTCCCATCGGCAGTTGGCAGAGAAAACGAGTGAAGCATTCATCAATGCACGACGCACCAGTAGTACTTGCACTCGGGAACTGGAATCATCAGAGATTAAACTAATGGCCCCCTTTGAAGGCTCTTGCAGTTCTAATATCAGTAAGCAAACTCTCTCACAGCCAAAGTGTACACCGAAGATGCTTTTGCCAAAGCCTAAAGTGGCTTTGGTTAAACTTCCAGTAATGCAGTTTGCTCACTTGCCTGTTTTTGTGTCAGCAACTAATTCCTCTGTCAAACCTGTTGTAGTGACTGTTGACAATCAAGGCTCTGTTGTGAGTACTGTTCACTTATTACCTCAGTCTATTGGAATTCTGATACCAGCACTGGAGGCTGAAGCACTTGTATTTAAAGACACAGTGCCTGTTTCAAAAATGGCAAATTCTGGTGATGTTGAGCCGATTGGCACCAGTGTCCAAGTCAACTTGGATAAGGCAACATCAAACAATACAGAACAAGAGCTGGAGAGTGTGCGTCACAAGAATAAAATCTCTTCAATAAATGTACAAACTGATTTGTCTTACATTTCACAGAACTTTGGGCCAGCTGCAGCCTGGACTCCTGATTCTTCGGTATCTTCTTGCTCTCAGACAGACCTAACATTCAGTTCACAGGTTTCACTACCAATCAGTGTTCAGACTCAGACACTGTTGCCCAGTTCTAAACTGACTTCCTCCATTGCTGCCCAGACTGATGCTTTTGTTCAGGCTTGTTTCCAGTCATGTGGTGTTTCTAGAGAGACTCAAACCAATAGAACACAGAACTCTGTTGATGGGAGAGTACAAATGGATCAGGCTGTAATGTGCAGTGACATTTTTGGCGATGTTCATTCAGCTTACAATGTTTCAACCCAGATTGGGCTCCCAGAAAACAATTTAATGGCTACAAACATGGATCAAAGCTTGCTACAAAGAAGTAACTGCAAGACCCTGAGTCAGGAAACACTGAAATCTGAACCCATTATCAACTTCAATACACAGACTAATGTACTCCCTCAGCAAAATATGACCGATAATCAAACCCAGACAATGGACTTACTAAGTGACCTGGAAAACATCTTCTCAGGTAACATGACTGGCCAGACATTGGATAATCGAGGTCTTCTGTCTGACACAGGCTCTGGTGCTGACACACACCTGCCATCTGGCCCAACACAGAGCACAGCAATAGACTTTGACATTGAAGAGTTCTTTTCAGCCTCCAATATTCAAACTCAAACTGAGGAGAGTGAACTTGGTAATCTGAATTCGGAGCCAGTCTTGGAATCGCTGGACATTGAAACCCAGACTGATTTATTTTTTTCAGACAGTGCCACTCAGTCCTATAGCTGCAAAGGAAATTCTAACTTCTTAGGTTTGGAAATGTTTGATACCCAGACACAGACAGACCTAAATTCTTTCTTAGACAGTAGCACCCACTTGCCTTTGGGAAGTATTCTGAAGCAGTCTAGCTTCTCCATGAGCACTGACTCATCAGATACTGAGACCCAGACAGAATTACACTCTGCTGCTAAAAATATACCTAGTCAAAATATAGAAAATAAAGTCCAGCTGAACAGTGCTGAAACACAGACTATGGATAGCTGTTTTGAGACCCTGGGAAGCCTATTCCTTACCAGCAATGAGACACAGACAGCTATGGATGACTTTCTGATGGCTGACTTGGCCTGGAATACAATGGAGTCACAGTTCAGTTCAGTAGAAACACAGACATGTGCAGAATTGTGTTCCTTGGTTTGTCAAAAGTTTGGAACAAGCCATTGAGGGATACTTAATAAAATTGTTTTCCTTATGGTTTGAAACTAAGTTATTAGGGTGTGGAAGGGGAGAAAGGACTGACCAAGCTACCTACATTTGAATGTAGCTGTCCACATGCATTGGTCTAAAAAAAACCTTTTCATGCATAAGGTACTTCAGCTGTTCACTGTGTGCATAAATGTGTACATATTTGTAACCTGTTAATGTAACTTTTAAAGTGAATGTTCTCATGGTGCCTACCATTGTTGGTTGATCTGTGTCTCAAAACTGTCAGCATGTCCCTGGAACCTCAGTTCAGGTGTTTGCATATGCCTGTATACTTCTGACTCAAACCTAGGCTTTTATAATCTTGGATCAAAAGTGGCATATACCCCTCATCTTCATTGGCATAAACTGTTTTCTATTTTTTAAAACTTAGATTTGACAAGTTTATAATCATGTCAAGGTTTACTAGTCCTACACAAAGAATATTGAAGAGTTTCTTAGCAGGTGTAATTTCCAAGCATTTGTCCCAAAAAATAGCCTGTAACACACATTTTCTGATTGCGTATATAAAGTGCAACTAGTGTGAATAGTGAAATTTGTTTTTACTTCTCTCTGAATTGGTGTAATTAGTGTTGATGTTAAGGGGGCATAAAATGAATTTTTGAGATACTTAACTCTTAAAGTTGCCATGCAGTAACATGGCTGCATGTACTGTAATAAAACAGCATGCAAGTCTAAAGTATTTTTGGACTTTTCAAAGAGGGATTTGTGTTCCTAACTCTGAATTGCAAGAAACAAATTAAGGAAATTCTCAATATTAGAATATTTATTTGATTGAAGGTTAAGAAGAAATCTTCAGGGTATGTGAATTACAGTGCAACAATCGTAAGTTATTTGCTAATTTGAGGAACAGTATATTTGTAATACTAGAACTACCAACCTTACCAAAGACCTTAGAGCTGTTAGACTTGTTATGATTGAATTTTCAGATATTCTTTTGATCAGATTACTACCTGAAATTGTATTCCTCAACAAGTCGAAGTAGAACTCCCAAAGGTCAGAGTGTTTTAGACTGCTGATTTCCCTGTATAGCAGCAGGTACATTGTTCCTCTGCACAGTGGGCTCAGCAGCCCCTGGCTTGGCTGCAAGGCATTCCTCGTCAGCAGTTACCTGTTTAAAGCTGATTACACTCCAGAAAGCGTTGAGATTTCCTTCATCTACTCTCTTCTCCTAGTGGTCAGTTACAACAGTCATATGTCCCAATGGAAAGGCAGTTATTCTGTTGTGAATTTCTGCTGTGTGAGCCAGTCTTCAGTCTTGCATTACTCTTTTTTTCTTATCTTTTTGGCGTTTTAGGTGTTACTTATTCTGTATTTTCTTGTAACTTTATTTTAGGAGCATCCAGTTCTGCCATGAATGTCAGTCTGGAAGGCTTGGTTGCAACTGTGCCTTGGAGCACCTGTACGTGCCATCTAGAAATATTTGGATTCCATGCTTTCTTGTCTCCAGTCTGAGAAGATTAGCATGTAAAAGGCGCAATCCTCCCTATCTGTGTTAGTAGGAAACTCAAAGCACAGTTGGTCTGATGCAGCTTAAGTGGTGGTGACGATTTCAGGATTCAGATGGCTGTGGTTTCATTCCTGTTTGGAGCACCGCACTGGGGTCAGAATACCTCAACACTAGCAAGATCTGTGGGGTGTTAGAACTCTACACCTCAACGGAATTTGTAATGTTGGAGCCTAGATTGCATTAAGATTTCATCAGAGTACAGTGAACTTGCATGGCACTGACAGCATCATTGATCTATTAGGGCTTGCTGCACCATTAAAGCTTAATGCATTAGCAGATAATCTTGGATCACATCAGAGCTCTCCCAATACAGGCACATCTTGGAGCCCTAGAGCTCGCTCGTTGTTGCTATTTCCAATATCGTCGGTCAGTGCTACATGGTGGCGGCTCAAAACAGAGGCGTGGCATATTTCTGATACTAGTCGGTATCTTTGAGGGACTTGGAGCATTGGCCTGTTTGTATACAAAGCTCCTTAACATATCGAGAACCAATGCTGTAGAGTAATTTTTATGATGTACAGGTGCTTTGCCCAGCTATGCCATGATGCACTAGGCTGATGTGCTGTGAGTGAACTAGTGTTGAGGAAGTAAGTTTGGGGTGCGGGTGGCTTGGCACATTACAGAGCCTTCTCTTTGGGAGAGTTCTTCATGCTGGTGATTTGAATTGCTTTGCCTCAGAGCATTTCGGACCACTTTTACCCAATCCCACTTTCAGCATGATCATTTGTTACGGTACACCAAAATGTTGGTGGGACCTGGATGGCTTAGTGTGATGTGCAGTGGATGGATTGCATACTTGGTGTCCCAGACACATCAGTTTCTGTGCCTCTGTAGCCCACTTTCAGGGTTAGGATTTCATAGTTGATTCCTTTTTTGAGCATTACATTTTAGAGCACTGCTGTTGTGTGTCAATCAGAAAGGCATTGCCTCTAGATATCTTGGAGCATTGGACATTATACTCCTCATTCATGCTGTTGAGGAAGTCAGATACCTAGACATTGGTGTATCATGGAGCCATTTCCATTTATAAGTATTACTTGTTGGAGAGGTTTGCCCATCTATCTGTCAGAACGGGGTCCTTAGAGAAAATAATGTTTATGCCTTTCCCTAAAGCACCTAGCCTGAATTGTCCAGAGGCCTGGAATACTGCAATGCTGAGAGAAACGTAAGACATGATGATCTAACGGAGAGTATTTTCCAGAAGGTGGCAGTACCACCTTGTGCCGTAGTGAAACTTGAATTCTGATTTTTTTTCCAATAGTATTCTGGTGCTAGTCATTGGATGTACCACAAAACATGATATCCATGGGCCTGAAGTCCAAGGAAGAACAAAATACATAATGCATGTAGACAGATGATGAAACCTGAGCTGCTCTCTCTTAACTGTGTTCACCAGTGCATTCAAATTCCATGAAGTCAAATTTAGCAGTGCCCTGTGCTGTCCAGTTGATATCTACCTTTACATAGCCCCCTGTTCTACTTATATTTGGGATGCATGTTAACTACCTGAGCCTACTGTAGTCTCTGGTCTGTTCTTTGGTAGCTTTGGGTCATGTTTATGAATCTAGGGACATTACTGAGCTCTAGAATATTGGCTTCTGTCTCAAACTTTCTTCTCCTAGATGTAATGTTGCCTCTTACTCAGCTGATGTGTCTTCAGTTACTTTACTGACTTAAGGAATAACCATTCTGGCTACATCAGAAAGGGAAGGGCTGGATTAAGCTCTTAGCATATCCCTTCAAGTATATCCGTAGTTGGTCATTTTCATGGATCATGTGCAGCATCCAAAGCAACTCCTTATCACATTTTGTTCACCAGTAATAGTAAGGACCCAAGATCTTACTTTCAGTTTTGCACAGGAGGTGGTATTAGGTATATATATTGATGCTAAACAGTCACACATCTCTGAGAAGGTTTGGGAGATCTGATGGAAGTGATCTATAGCCCTTGCTTTCTGGGCACAGCTCCCAGTGCAAAATGGTGATTGTTTCTTGTCTTTGCTATGAGGGACTACGCTGTGTGCTCTGAAGGTTGCAAAAATATTCCTTTGTCAAATCAGTCTTCTCTTTTAGCATAAACTGGGAGACAGAAGCTTTTGGGCATCTGTATCCTGAAATTGTGTAGTGCAAAAGCAAATCCTTGTCCGTGCTGTTGGTCCCCTATTTAATATCTTCCTGATATTCTTAAATGGGGGAATATCCCCAAAGTCTCCATAATCCTGACTGTACAAAACTGCCTTTTGCGGTTCTTGTTCTCTGTGATCTTTGGTGAATTGGCTTTCTACTTTATAGATCCACCCCCTCAGGTTCGTTGGTCTCTAGACGCAGGAACCCAGTCAACTTGATATACTGAGAGAAGGGAAAATTACTTGCACGTAATTCTGATTCCCTGAAGATCTGGTATGACTGGATTCCTTCTCACCTTCCCAATTCTTATGAGACATGGATGAAATATGGCTGCATGAATCCATCCTATCCATTGCTATTTATAGCAATGTTTATGTTTTGGTTTTAAGAGTACTTTCTCACTGGCTTCCTATAGAACCAGATAATGCATTTCTTAGTGCACAGACTTTGGTTCAGAAGCCCAAAACTCTAGAATGGGAATCAATTTCTATGATGCGTTCAGACAGTAAAATCACGGCATGTAAGTTCCTCACTATTAGCCACCCAAGTAAAATAGCTAGCCACCCCATAGTCACATGATGCAGACCTGCAGGTTAGCCTTTCTTTGGTTTAAGCCTACAACTCTTTGCAAAGGAGTGAATTGTGCATTCCCTGTTATCAGTGTTTGACACACCAGCAGCATTTTTTTCAAATAAAAGTGCATTTACACTGCTGGTTCCTTTTCACAGTTGTCTTATTAGATAGTATCATGGTATTCATTTCTCTAAAATATATGCAGTTATAGAGTATGAAATTCCAGGCCTGAATTTGGCCCACTTCTGCCAACCCCCACAGGATTAACATTTTGTTATTTGGATGATACCTTAAATGAGTGTGCTATTATAACGATTTGAAATTGTTAAATAAAATCCAGTAGCATGAAAACAATTGAACAGTAAATATATCTTATTTTGAGATACATGGGTCACTTTAGACTGTAGGTAACTTTGGGTCTAAACAAATGTGTTCTGTTCATTCTGATTATAGAAAACTGTTTTCATTGGAATTATGAAAATGAGTCTGGAAAATTCCTTACACTAAAGGAATAGATTCCACAGCATTAAGATACCTTAGTTCTGGATTTGCTAATTAACATTTCTCATAGATAAGGGAGAGGCCATGCAACCAAATTTGGCCTTATTATGTATGCTATGAACTGACTAAATGCATTAAAACTTGAGTAGAAATCTTTAGATAAACATTAATGCTTCCAAACTCTTTTTTTCTTTATTTCAATTTTTCTGGCATTGCCCTTCCAAAATTTGCACTACTTGAAGTGTCAGTCTGCAAACTTGATTTTAGACAGGATTCTTTTCCACTATTTTTACCAATAACTTAGATGTTCCATTACCTTTTTGTTGGCTTGTAGTGCTAGCTAGTGAATAAAAGGAGACTTTTTTCTTTCACACCCAAAGTAGCCTGTCATTCCACATAGCCTCTCCACCCATGCCTTTATGTACTCATACTTGCACTATGTGCTTTCATTCCCTGCTTTATCACAATTTCTCATCCTTGCAACTATAGGATCTTTCTTATGTGTGTTTTAGACCACTCTGAACTCCACTTCCATTCCAGACTCACACGGGTTCTCACTGGCCACCTAATCATGACCTGTTTGTGTGGGAAAAACTTGAATGTGGGATTTTCCATTATGGATCAGCCATCAGGTTAATCAAATCCAGTATTTTGCCACTGGCAATACGCACTACCTGATCCTTCAAAGGAAAATGGAAACCACTAAAAACACTGTAGAGTCTGATCCAAAGCCATTGCTGTCAGTGGGCTTATGGATCTGACCTTCAGAAAACTGTGTAATACTTTGTCATAGCTGAATTTTCCCCTGTTCTGTCACAATCATTTTACTATGCCTTCAAGTGTGAGTTAAGTTGATCTGCTTTAACAGCCTTCCAAGAAAAATAAAATTGCATGTTACCTTGTCTGTCTAAAGCATCCAGTTTGTCAAAGGAGAGTAAAAGCAGTCCAGAGAATAGTCTGTATTTTCCCTTGGATACATCTGCATAACTCTCATGGCATGCAGATTCACTGAGACCGATACCAAGGACAGAACACTTAAATGGAGGAGTAAAGCTACTGTGGACACTTCTAGCTTTAGAGACTAAAATAGAGTATTTTACATGCACCTGAACAGGGAAGTGGCATGTTGGTAATATGTACAAATATGGCTATTTGGTTGTGAGCATATGCATACATCAACTTAAAAACAAAAACCTGGCTTCAGCTTCTGAAAGAATATTGACACATGTAATTTGCATACGTTGCACTTTCTTTCATTAATATAAAAGAGACCTAATAAATTCAGGGCATGAGTCCCTTTCCTTGTACACAGCACAATATTAGCACAATGACCGCTAAAAAATTAGATAGTTTAAGCTTAACAAAGAGTTGCCTTGCATTTATCGACATCACTATAGTAAAAGTTTACATTAAGCTCTCATAAGAGGGGAGGCATATTTGTTTATACTATGAAGCATCCATTTCTATGTATACACTTGTAAATACTTACTTAAGCTATTACTTGACCTGACAGAAATTGGCAATAATAAGATAACAAATCTAACTTTTGTACGCAAAGTGAATTAGCTGGTGTCTTGCCACACTTCCCTTCCATATTATCTGAAATCCTAAAGCAGCATAAAACATTCTTATTCAGATGAGAGTAAGCGTCTTAAAGAAACCATGACTGGTCTTGCTGAACTTGAAGCTTTAAACCATTCCAGATACACATCAGATTTTTCCCCAATTTTTCAGACTTCCTTGAAAATGTTATCTCCAACTACTCATGCCATGACTTTAAGAGTCTAAGTTTTTCTGTTAATCATGTGTGCATTCAGATTAATACCTGTCATTACTCTGAATTAGCATAACAGGTAATAGCACATGCTTCTAAATGAACAGAGTTGCTGTTTTCTGCTACTACAGGCACTAGTCTTGCCAATGTTTTGGTATATTCTTAAAATTAAGCATATGAATAACAGTTTATTTCAGTGGTGCTGCTCACTTTAAGTGCATAAGTGTTGGAAGGATTGGGATTTTAAATTAAAAGGTTATCTATACAAAATTATGGGTGTAGAATGTACTTGAATGATGCACAGTTGTGATTGATAAGGCTATCCTTCATTGAGTCAATATAAGTCATATTTAAAAAAGGACTAAGTAGTGGGGAAATTACAACACCAAATTATGTTTAAATTATCTTTTATCATGAAAGTTGTGCAGAGTAATTTTCTACAGTTTCCTTTGCTTTAACCTAATTTGGGGAAGCTCGGTGATTTTTTTTCTTTTTTGACAGCTATCTTCAGGTTTTCCAAATAAACTTACACCAAAATGTCATTTTTGAAGTGAGCATATTATACTGTCATTTTGATTTGTTTAAAAATGTTGCTGTGCTTGTTTCAACAAACCTACTGCAAACTGGCTTCCATTCATAACGTTTTCTGTAAACACTAGGCAGTAAATGTACAAAGATGCAGGGTAGGAATATTAGTACTTTTTTAATGCATGGTGTACATTTGCAAGAATTTAAGTAGTTCTCAACCTCAGAAGTGTCTTTTAGTTGATGTGAATTAAAGTCTACATGTTTGAGTGGCAAAAAAAAATCAGTGGGAGGATTTGTCAGTCTACAGTGAGAGTGAATACTCTTGTTAAAATTTCTTTGCTATGCAATTAATAGAATCAAAGGGCCAGATTGTTCAACTTTATGTTGATTTGCAGTCAGGTTGATGCAAAGGTTCTGGTTTTTTGTGTGTGTAACTCTCCTAGTTCTCTAAAAACTGGGTTAGTGGAAATCCCCAAATGAGTTTTCTGCTACTTAAAAAGTCAGAAATGCACTGTGTCACTTCTAACTAATACAGTCCCAAACATCATCCTTTATACTGTCTTAAGGTGGGAAACATTGGATGACTTCATAAGTTGCTAATACAATACATCAAGTGGATTAGTGAAAAGATACTCTTCAGTTTCAAACAATGACTTCCATTTTGGATTGTGCATTTTTGCCGATACATGCTTCAAGCACTCACTTGGTTGCAGAGCTGACAGTAACCTACATATTTTTCCTAGAGCACATATGGAAGACATGGGTTCTGAGCCATGTTTTTCAAACCAGCGTTATTTTCATATTTAACCATTTTTTAGACTTTAGCCTTAAATGCGTAAATTTAAAATTATTTGGAAAGGATAAGTACAAAACTCCATGGACGAGTCTATCCCAAAGCATACTGAAGCATTTGTCATCAGTGTCTGAAATAGCCAGTCTGTTTTATCACCTTCACTGTATGTAGTTTGAACATTTGACTTTTGCCATTTTAGTCAATTAAATTATAAAAGTCAGAAGCAAGTGGATTTTTTGTTTTTATATAATGGCAATCCCAAAGAACTGTCTTAATAGTTGTGAAATTGTTTAGTATATGCATGCAAAAAATCCCTGTGCCAAGATTATTTTTTTGCATTTATTTCATGTTAACATCTAAAGTATGCATGAAACACTACAAAAGCCAGTGTTATAATTTTTTTCACCAATGAAGAACTTAAGTAAACTTGTAAATACTTATGTTGGAGTAAAGTTAATTTCAAACTGTTTTTTGTCTTGTATTTATTGTATGACTGTGCCTAAATTGGTGGTGGAAAGAACATTCTGCTCAGGAAAGCAGTGGAGTAACACATATAAGTGCTATGAAAAATGATGGCTGCTGTTTGAAGGAAGACAGTCCTATGTGGTATTCCACTTTCTTCAACCTCTGTTGAAAAAGAAACGATTATGAAGGGTAAAAAACCCCATTAAGCCTCAAAACTAGGGTTGTCGACACGTTAGTCGCTCCCCCCACCTTGCTGCTTCTATCAGAAAGAGGCAGCAAAGGAGTGGGAAAAGGAAAGGGGTGCTTCAAAGAAGCAACACCACATGGAGCCTGGGGCCAGACCCCAGAATCCACGCGGCGCTGCCATTTTGAAATGCCGCATGCAGCCTGCGTACTCCTCCGCTGACCCCGGGCTCCATGTGATGCTGCCGCTTTGAAATGCCTAAGGAGCACAGGGCCAGAAGGGGACTGCTTGAGTCCCCCGCTGGCCCCATGCTACCCGCAGCACTTTCCCCTTAGAAGTGTAGCAATAGCCCTGGGGCTGTTGCTACACTTCAAAGGTGGAGATGCCCTTATCGACTAATGGAATAATTGATGCAAATTGAATCGACTATTTGATTAGCCAAATCGAAATTTTACATCCCTACTTTTGACAACATAGGGATTATGACTTGACTGCATATTAAGAAAGGCAACAACTGTTCTGAGATCAATGGACCTTTAATTTTTGACCTATTTTGCTTGGCTTCGCTGAGAATCTAGTCTTTTTTGTTTGTTATTAATGAAAGCAGCCCTGGCTCCACTGTGCTTATTGTTTTACATTCACCTTCGTTGCAGAAACTGCATGCTGCAAGTTGACTCTTCTCTCCCAAGGCAGTAGCACTAGAACTAGTTGCATTGTTTCAGTCTTGCAAACAACAATTCCAGTGGTGCTACTTGAGGTCCTCTTGCAAGGGAAAAGTTACTAGCTTTTCTGTAACTCTCTTGTTCGACAGTTCCACTTGTCTAATTCCACTGATGTTGTCTGTGCTTCTGTGCACAGTTGTCAGAGTATTTTTACTCTTGGCAATAGTCACCCGGGAGGTCCAAAACATCTTCTATTGTGTCTTGTACAATGTGCAGGCATAAAAGGCCAAGCCACCGCAGACCCTTCTCTGATCCTTGCTGTGGAATGGGCATGTACAACACATCTAGGAGAAAAAACATTATGGAATGGATAGTAACCATTTTTTCCTTGGTGTGATTGCACATGCCTGTTCCACTCCATGTGATGCACAAGCAGTCGCAGATGGAGGTGCATTTGGCATCTACTTGAGCGGGGACAGGAAGATCCTTTATTCAAATTTAAGTTGAGAGACTGCACAGTGGGAGGCAAATGTGTGATATGATATGCCTAGATTGGTACTCTGCAGAGCTCTAATGGGATGCATGAGACACAAATGTCACAAAGGCTGCTCTGAATCTAGTTGATGACCCACTACTCTATCCTTAGGCTTCATATTAGCCAACTGATAATTTAGATGAACACAAGTGGATATCAATAACAACAGTCCTTTGTGCGGAAACCAAGCAGCCCTTCTTTCTGTCTGCAAATGCAACAAGCAACTGAAAAAAAGACCTGAAAGGCTTAGTCTGTTCCAGTTAAATGTGAACACTCTTCTCACAGCTAACATTTGGAGTGACTCCTCTCCCTTTTTACCATGAGGCTTTGGGAAGAAGGTAAGTAACTACATTAGCTGACTTTTATGGAAAAAGGAGACCAATTTAATTTAAAAAGCAAAACCAACCCCTCCCCCCCCAAACAAACTTGCCAGCTGTCTACACTGGCCGCTTGAATGTCCACAAGAACACTGACGATCTCATGTAAGATTGTCAGTGTTCTTGCGGAAATGCTATGCTGCTCCCGTTCGGGCAAAAGCCTTCTTGCACAAATGCTTTTGCACAAGAGGGCCAGTGTAGACAACACAGTATTGTTTTGCGCAAAAAAGCCCCGATGGCGAAAATGGCGATCGGAGCTTTCTTGCGCAAAACCACGTCTAGATTGGCATGGACGCTTTTCCGCAAAAAGTGCTTTTGCGGAAAAGCGTCCGTGCCAATCTAGACGCTCTTTTCCTCAAATGCTTTTAACGGAAAAACTTTTCCATTAAAAGCATTTGTGGAAAATCATGCTAATCTAGATGTAGCCACTTGATTATAAAGGCAGACTTTTTTTTCCTATTTAAAAAAACATGAAGGAGTTGATTCTAATACCCTTAACTCCCCTATTTTCCTGGCCAATGGAATGGCTTAATGAAAGTAGCACTTTTAATAAAGGTGTAACAGATCGCCAGGGACTCAACTGCTGGACCCATCAGTTGTTAAGATTAAATTCAGTCTCTACTGGAATAGGACTGTACACATGAAAACAGCCTGGAAACCCTTTTAAAATATACAAAATTAGGTTGGAATAAAAGAAGCAACTATTCACACAAGGGTGAAAAGCTGATATAACTGCTAGGTGTATCGTAATGAAGCTAACTACTAATCTTTGGTGTTTCAGATAGAAAAGATAGTCCGGCACATGCTGAAAAGAAATAAGAATGTAGGAGACCCCTTTCAGCCTCAACCAGGTAGAAATACTCTTACTTAGTCAGGTAAGTTGTCCTTGAAAATGGTTTTCCACAATTCAGCGGTACTTCCCGCATTTCTCTGGAGCAGAATCTCTCTGCCAATGTTAGTCATAAGAACGGCCATACTGGGATGGACCAAAGGTCCATCTAGCCCATATCCTGTCTTCGCAGGAATGAGCAGAACAGGGAATCAGGTGATCCCACATTTGCTGACACTATTCCTACCCATCCTGGCTAATAGCCATTGATGGATCTATTCTCCATAAGTTTATCGAGCTCTTTTTTGAACCCTATTAAAGTCCTGGTCTTCATAACATCCTCTGGCAAATTTTACAGGTTGACACTGTTGCATGAAGAAACACTTCCTTTTGTTGGTGTTAAACCTGCTACCTATTAATTTCATTTGTTGACCTGTAGCTTTTATATTGTGGGATGCCATGAAGCCTTCAAGTGAAGAGCCTGAAGGTTGAAGTAGAAGAGGCGGCTGTGATTCTGTGAAACTAGGTCTGTGTGAAGTGGGAGTGACAGTAAGGGACTGAGAGGTCCAAGAACTGTGAAAACCAGCATTGATGGGGTCAACCCAGGGCAATCAGTGTAAAACTAGCCTTGTCCCAATTGGTGCAGAACTCTGGCGGGAAAAAGAATGGGTGGAGAAGCATTCAGTAGAAAAATGTTGATCAGTGAACCTGGGCGGTATCCTGCTTTGGCACAGAATTAGTTCATTGTTTTGTCCCTTTTGTCTCCCACTTGGAGAGTTCCCCAGAGCTGGAAAATGGATGTTACTATGTCTGGGCAAAGGACCAGTTGATGGAGAAGCAATCTGCTCATGTAATCTGCCAGCATATTCTGAGTTCCCAGGAGATGCGCCATTTTTCAAAGTCTAGAGATGCCAATGCAGAAGTCCAAGAGAATAGTGAGGACTGGGCTCCTCCTCCTCCTACTTGTTTACATAAAAAATGTCCATTATCTTGCCACTTCACTCCTGGGGTATAAATGCCTAGCGATTTGAGGGTTGTGTCTTTGAAACAATGTAGGCGCCAATCCATCTTTTTCTGAGTTTGGAAAAGTCCTGAACTGCCTTTAGCACCTCTGGAAAGAGGCTAGAGGATCATAACCAGAATGAGTGCTGCCTCACGATAGCAGAGACTATGCTGTGCTCTGCAGAATCTGTTGCATCAAGCCTTCCCTAGAGACCCATTCTAGCAACAACATTGCCCTCCTCTACTAAGGACTGGAACTCCTGATTCGTGTAATCTGGGAGCTGCTCTTTTAACTTCAAAATAGTATCCCACAGAGTGAAATTGTAGGATCCCAGCAAGTCTTGCTGGTTTGCATTACATCCATGGAATAAAGCTGTTATCTGCAGATGGAATGATGGTTCCTCCCAAATACATCCAGATTCTCTTCCTCTGTGTTTTTGGGGGTTTGAGCCTGCTGCCCTTGTCTATCTTTTTCATTTCTTGCTGGCATTGAAAGAGGGTCTGGAACATGAGGGTTAAATAAGTGCTCAAACCCCTGGGAGGGGACATAATGTCATCTATCTGCTCTTTGCAATTGGTAGGTAGGGATGCAGGAGTCTGCCAGATGATTTTGGTAGGCTCTTAGCCTCTTTTACTGGCAGAGCTATTCTTGCTGGCATCATGGATGTCTGAATGTCCTCCCGCTTGTGGATTTTTTCCTGGATCATCTCTGAGTGGATATCTATGGCAATAGCTATCTCCAACTCCTGAGGTTTCATAAAATCATTGGCTACGTCTACATTGGCAAGATTTTGCGCAAATACTTTTAATGCAGGACTTTTTGCATTAAAGTATTTGTGCAAGAGAGCGTCTACATTGGCATGTGCTTTTGCGCAAGAGATGTGCTTTTGCGCAAAAGCATCCGTGCCAGTGTAGACGCTCTCTTGTGCAAGAAAGCTCCAATGGTCATTTTAGCCATCTGGCTTTTTTGCGCAAGAAATTCATGTTGCCTGTTTAAAGTAGCCTCGAGTGCAAGAACAGTTACACAAGAGAGCTTATTCCTGAGCGGGAGCGGGAGCACTGATTTCACACATTAGAAGGTCAGTGTTCTTGCACAAGAACTCCCCGCCAGTGTAGACAGGCAGCATGTTTTTGCACAAAAGCAGCTGCTTTTGCACAAAATCATGCCAATGTAGACACAGCCATCCAGAGATGGAGAAATAAGCTCTGCTATGATCCCAGGTGAAAGTGGGCCAATGCAATGTACCAGTAAGAACTGGCTCCTGGTACCAGTCTGTATACAACAGACATTAAACCACTGCCCCTTTTGTTCCCCTTCTACTGGTGGCCTTCCTGGTACAACTGCCGATGAGTGGGAAGTAAAAGGAGCAGCTGCCTTAGGGCCCAACAATTTCAAAGGGCCCAGGAGCTAGTCTGAGCAATCTGGCCCCAGCTCCACCCCTTCTTCCCAAGGCCCTGCCCCTTCTGAGGGCCGAGCTACCCTCTTACCTTGCCAAGGACCCCCAGCGTACTGATAAGTCCTGGAAGTTACTTTCACCCCGGCTACAATTGCCCCATTCATGGATATGGATGAGGAAGAAGATGATACTAGTATGGGGGAAAGGTGGTTCAGTGCCTGCAGTCCAGTGGTCTTGTGACGGTTCATGAAAAGGATCCTGAGTCTGCTCAGTGCCACGCTATACTCATATAATTGAATTTGCAGCGATCTCAGCACTTTCTCGATCGTGGGGAGGAAGCGCTACCGGTTCTAAAAGGGCTGTTGGTGTGGCACTACTGACTGGCACCGATGTGAACTTACCCAGACCAAAGTATAGGGGTGAGATGTAAGCCATAGGGCCAACTTAATGAGCGGGTGTTTTAATCTGATTGCCCTGTCCTTTTTTTGAATGGGGCTGGAAGACCTAATAAATGCCACATTTGTCACTCACATGAGCCTCCCACAAGTATTTAAGGCAGCTGGGGTGAGGGTCACTATTAGGCATTGTCTTGCTGCAAGAGTGGCACATCTTGAAATCTGGAGAATATGGCATATAACCAATACCAGGGCCAACACCCAAACAAGCTGCCAGAACCACACACAACCACAACTGACTTTTAAAACTCGTAGATACTCTCTGTCTATAGATACTAATTACTGATATCAAGACTTGCAAATCAAGAACCGGGAGCTCTAACAGCCATCATGGTGGTAAGAAGGAACTGAAGTGGTCTCTAGTGGCTTGGCCCATTATGCTGTGAGAAACTGAAGGGTAAGAACTTCAACTGTACACTGGATCATCCAGACACTTATTATGAAACAGACTTGTGCAGTCTCTTTAAGGTGAGACTTTGGAAGTAAGGGACCAAAAATCATGGTGCATTGATTTTTATTTGATCCAAGTCTGTATTCTTCATGCTGTCAACAAGTCACTTTTCACTTTCTTGCTTTGTTTTAGTACCGGGATGCAGAAAGCAGTCTCGGTCGAAGCAGGATTAAGAGTTCTCTCATTTCCCTGGATGGAAATTGCTTTCCTCTTCGTAGAAGAAGGCTCTAAAGGCAAACAGGGAGATGTTTCTTTCAGTGGAAACAAATCCAGTAATGTCCTTAAGGTCACATATCTCAGGCTATCATGAAGATTACCATGGCTTGTGTGTGGCAGCCTCATATTTTTACAGTTCAGAGATTTGCTTATCAGCTTTTCCAATTGCTTTTTATTGTACTGGTTTCTTGGCAAGTTCTTGGTATTCTTTTTACTTTGAAAAGTCTGAGTAGCATTCAATTTGCCATTACTCATTTCTCCTTTAGTGCCATCTGTTGGAGGAACAAAATTGAAAGATTGTCTACAACAGATTGGAATCTCTTCTTTTCCTGAAACTTTGTCTCCTACATCATGTGCAGTTACTTTGCAACTGTATTTTGATCGCTTGTATGTAGACTTGGTTGCTTGAGCCAATCTTTTGTTGGCATTTGATGCTATATCTATGTGGGGTAAGTGAATGACTGTTTTCTTTGTCTTTGGTTTTTTAGACTTATTTTGCGCTTGGTAACAGGTGAAAGGAACATTTCTACCCCTGTCTTTTACCTGGAGGTACAAAATCATGTTATATGTATATTAATACAAATGGATTTTGTAACAGTAAAAATTACAAATAATCATTTATGCAGTAACAAAGTGCTTCAAATTCCCTTTGGAACCAAAGCACCTGAAATTTACATAGGACTTTTAGAAGGGAGGTCAAGAGGGGAAAAGTTCTTTTCTGCTCTCCCTCAAAGTCCTAATCTGCAGGAGAGACTGAAGACTTTTTCACTCCTTTTTGAGGTCATATGAAGAGATTGCTGCTGTGTAAGTCTGTAAGGAGCAGACAGGTACAAGACTTTCACAGATTTCCATGTTTTTCAGCATCTCGTATCATCCTGTAAAAGAGAAACGTTTCCTTCCAAATCAACTTGAGATGGTCGGTTTTGCAAAGGCTCACTTGAATGGCTCACTTGAATGTTTCATATCTGCCATAAAATCTTCACCTGCAATGGTGTAGGAAACTACAATTCATATGAAGAAACTCTTGCAAGTTTCTGCACCTTAGTACAGTCTCCAAGTTCATCCATGCACTTACAATTGTATTCTACTCTGACAAATTCTGATCTCAGTGTTGCCACCCTAAATCTGGAACAAATTAACAGAAGACAGAGTGAAGGAAGGATGATTCTATGATAGAACAGGATTTAGAGGCATTAGAGTTGAGTTGTAATATTGGTTCCACCACAGGCTTACAACATGCAATACTTTTCAGTTGACGGCAATTGACATTGGAATTTGGCCTGTCTATGAAAGACAAGGCCTGTAGGGTAGCTGTAACAACTCCTAACATCTTAGCACCAAATTTTGCTGTTAACAATTATATAAGTAACTGAACAAGTTTTGGTCTCCATGCTATTATCCTGAGGTTTGATTGGCACATTTCTCTTTTCTTCCCTTCTTAATTCTGTGACTAAAATGAAAGGTGCTAGTTACATTCTCTAGGCGTAACAGTAATGTTCTTTTGCCTTTTTGATCCATTTACTTTACTTTGCTACTGGAGTTTTAAAATATTTTCATTTGTTAAATATTAGGCATTTATCATTAAAATGCCCAATACATTTATAAAATCCCAATTAGATCTGCAAAAATGGGGAGGGAGGATGAACATAAAATGAATTATCACAACTACAGTAAGTACTCCTACTGAAAATGAAATGCAAAGGCTAAAAGAAAAATGCAAGGTGTTTAAACATGAATTTCCAGATTTTTAAACTCATTTTTAATACACCCATAAAACTTGGATATTACAGAAGCAAGAAGGCTCATAACTTTCTGCTGTAACAACTGCCTTTTTCCTACCATTTGTTGTTTACTATCAGTTGTGCTGCCATCCAATGCTGCATTCTTTTAATGCTAGTTTATTTAATTACTGTAACGAAGGTGGATGTTGTGACTTTCTTCTACTGTGGTAAGTAGGTCCTTATTCTATTTTCTCTTTGAAGTGTCAAGTGTTTCATATTCACCCACCTTCCCTCTCTTCAGGCCATGGAAATGTCAGCTATTTCACAGGTGCTTATAGAAGGTCAAAATATCCCTGTCTGGTGAATATTGAACATGTTACTGAGGATTGGAAAACAGATGTTTGGACTGATTTGCTCTTTCAACATGTTTTTATTATTTGTGAAGGATCTCATTTGGTCTTTATGGTTTTCTGATGTTTCTCTTACAGTATATTTTTTAAATTAAGTATGATGTTGACTTAGAAGAGACACACCAGCATCCTACTTGCAGTGCTTATTCAAATATATCTTAAGGCTCCTGCTCAAATAGATGCCATCAGATTTCTACAGAAAAGGATTTCTTACATTTAAATACTGTGTTATGGTGAAAATCAATAGAGTTAACTACCACTGTTAATTTTAATTAAGACCATAGATATAAGACAGATTGTATCTGTTGTCCTTCTAGCTAGGTTATTTCTACCTAGAAGCACCAGACAAGTGTAGATACAGATCCACTGGACATATCTTTAAAAAGGATCTCATAGTTGTTACGTACAATCAGCCTGCACCTCACTTCACATGCCTTTGCTTTACATGTCACTTTAATACTCGTAGAATCTGGTGACCCTGTTCGTGAGCAATAATGGTAAACAAAATGTCTTGCAGGCTGCATGCAGAAGCCCAGTGGATCCCCTCACTCCACCGAGCTGACTTCAGTAGGTAGCACTATCTTGTGTTTCAAATGATATTTTGCAGCTGTTAAAGATCAAACTCAAGGACTGACCACTTCATAAAAGAACATGGGCCTGCCCGCATTGCTACATGAGCCATTACACTCTGCTTTAATTCCCACAACAATTACTATTGGAAAACAATATTTTTCACATCTGTCAAACTATATGCATCGTTCACGTATGCTCTTTAAGGGCTGCTGAATTTCTCCCCTGGAGGTTCTTACACATCAATAGTGGTTGATTTCTTCATGTGGCTTTTTAAAATTAAAAAAAGTCCTTTTATTACTTAGCCTTCGCTTCTAGTTGCGAAAAGTTTACTCTTTGGTTTTAAAGCAGGTGCATATATAAGGGCAAGTAAATGGTTAATATGTAAATGTATGTAAACTGCTTTGAAAGTAAAGTACTATAAAAGTATAAAGTTAAACTCAGAATTCAGTCTTGTAGGACTGATTCTCTTAAATCAGTGAAATGGGATCTGGTGTAAGAGTGGAACATGAGATATTTGGGAATCTAACTGGAATTACCTTTCTATTTCCAAGTTACTGTTAAAAATTCATCAAAAAGGGGGAGAGAAAAATAAAAGGCAGCCAGTTACAGAAAATCTTTGACTACTGAGTAACATGCAATCATTGTGGATAATTTTCATTTAAGCTATTTTAAACTGTGAATGCAAATTTAACCTGTATTTGATGGGGGAAACTGACATCTTATAAATGAAATGTACATTTACAGACAAAATGCTATTAAAGTCCCTCTGTTTGCCAATAGATAAGTTTGGCCTACATTAATAAACATGAAAACAAAACAGGGAAGGGTGTACACATAAAAATACTAAAACCAATAAGAACAAACATGACAAACATTCAACCATGCACTGTGAAAGAGTTGCTGTTTCTGTGGTCACTTGAGCAATTCTGCTGCAGGTCCCAGTTTCACAAAACATTTAAGCAAATACTTCAACCTTATGGATTTCAATCCAACTGAAGCGCATACTTAATTCTTCAAAGGCTTGCTGAATAGAGATGAACTTGAGGTTGTGCTAAAACTTATTTATGGGGCCAGGTACTGCAAGACCACACTTAGACCTAGTCTAATTTTTCATGCAGACAATCACAAGCTGGGATGTGAGTCTAGCCCATACTAGCCTGCTACATTCTTAACCAGGGGCAGGCAAGAGCTGGTTCACTAAACCTTTTAATTTGGGCTGCAGGTGCCCTGCCAGACTCTCAGGCATGGAGCAGCTCTAGGCCTTCCAGCAGCTGCCTGCTCCATATGTGTCTCAGCACTGGGGAAGGGAAAAGCTTTGTGTGCTGCCCCTGCCCCCAGCACAATCTTTCAGCTCCCATCAGCTGGTTCTTATTGGCTATCCCAGCGCCAGCACAAACTCTCAACTCCCATTGGCTGCTTCTGGCCAATGGGAGCTGATTGTTCTGGGGGCAAGGCAATGTGTGATGCTCCCTCCACCCCTTGCATGGTTCAGAGAGGCACATGGAGCAGCCATCCTAAGCCCAGGAACTACAGCAGGCAGAAGCTTGCCCGAGGGTCCTGTGGGGCTGCTGGCTATAAGCCACCTAGGTAAGTGCCTCCCAGCCAGAGCCTGCCTCTGTCACCCCAGCCCCCCCACTTCCCAGCCCCAAGTCACACCTCAAAACCTCTGCATCTCCTCTCCCCCAGGTCACAACTCCCTCCCAGACCCTGCACCGCCTCCTAAACCCCTATCCCAGGACAGAATGCTCTCCTGCACCCATAGCCCATCCCAAACCTTGCACCCCAGTCCCCTGCACCTTCACCCAAACTCCCTCTCAGACCCCGTACCCTCTCCTGCATCCCAATCCCATACCCTGAGCTCCCTTCTTCCCCCAATCTCCATCCCAGGCCCTACACCTCCATGGAAAAATGCAGCACTGGAGCACTCAATCTTGGCATGACCCTCTCATCAAAAATTATTGCCCACCCCTGTCTTTAACTGCATGTGTGCTTCCTCCCGATATGCACTGATGGATTAGTAGAAGTGCTTTCAGCTAAGGAGGATCCATTCTGACAAACTTAACATGCATCACAAGGTTCACATGAATAGTTGGAGCATGGCAGACTGGTGTTGGGTAGATTCACATTGCAGCTTGCCACAGTTCATGTGGACAAGACCAAAAAGGCTGCACCTGAAGTGAATGCACTTAGTTCCAGTAGAACCTTAAATAAATTAATACGGGGCAATGAGGAATTAGCATACTGTATAACCTAGAGATAGTTAATCTATAAATTGGAAATTAAATCTATTTGGAAGTAATGCAAACTTTGGAAGTATTAAACTGATAGATAGAAATGAAATTAACAAAGGGCCAGTCTGCTCACAAGGAGCACAAGTACAATGTATCTTCAATCCTTTTCTCATCATATACAAACAAATAGAAGACAATGACATGAAGTTACAGTATAAAAATGTTAGGTTAGTCTAGAAGACATTGCTGTTATTGCAATGTGGCTGACCGTTAAGGAAGGGAATAGTCCAGGAAGCAGTTGCACGGCCTGTGGTTTTGATTCATTTCCTTGCTTAGCCTCTGAGAGACTTCTGTTTTTAATATTGTTGGTGAAAGGACTTCTGATTTTATCATGGTTTGTATACTGTAATCCTTTTGCATTTAGAAACTGCATGTTGGCAAGATGACTGTTCTTTCTCAAAGAAACAGAATTAGAAGTGGTTGTAATTTTTCTATCTGACCAAAGAGCACAGGGCCAGTGTAACTGCTCAGTGCCTCCTTGTAGGAATGCTTTTGGAAACATTGGGATAAAAGATAATGGTTCACAAATTTTTTTCTCCTTCACTGTATCATGAATTATACAGTTATTTTCTTTTTCATCCTTTTGATCTATTGTTCTAGTACCCTTACTACCAGAAGCAGTCTCCACTGAAGTAGCATTGAGCATTTTCTGATTTGATTGGGACATAACTGTTTTGCTCTTCTTTAAAGAAGAATCTGCACTGTCTTTTGGAGTTGCATCTTTCACGGGTGGCAATACCAGCAAAGAGTTTTGCTCTGAATCTTCAAATATACCTGGAGCAGGCATGGTAGGCTCAGGGGTCTTTACAACTTTACATTTTAGGGTTTCTGGGGTTTTCACTTTTTCTGGATGCCATGCACTATATTCTTTTACTGGCAAACTTTTCTTTTCACCTTGAAATGTCTCAGTGGAGCGTAACTTGCCATTACAGCCTTCTCTCTTACTATCAACTGTGGTAGTACAGCTGGAGGACTCGCTGGAATGGACCGGGACCTCTTTCTTTTCTGTGCTTAATTTGCAATCAGATTTTGATTGATCCCTTGTAGACTTGGTTTCTTGGCTCACACTTCTGTCATTATTTTGCCTCATATCTAAGCAAAACAGGCAACTGTTAACAGTTTCATTTGTCCTTGATTTCTTGGCTTGCTTTTGCAACTGAAGGCAAGCAAATGGAGCAGCTTTACCCCAGCCTTGCACCTGGGCACAGAGAAATAAAAGTTAAATCTAAATCCTAGTTTCATTTTTCACAAGAAGAAACATTACTGTTACATCTGTATGAAGTTAATGATTAACTGATAGCACTCATGTTGTTAATTAGGCTTACTGTTTGGACCAAATTAACGAAGTGTTTTATACTTAATCAGGCCCACTTAAAATGGAATTTGATGAAGTTTTTTATTAACAGGAAAGCCTGTTAATTTAGCATGATTTTCACTACTCTCAACTTACACGCTGGCTTAGAGGCTTTACAGTTATCCAAAACAGTATCTGCTTTGACTTTTTAAACCACATGGTAAAAAAAAATGATTTTTAAATATAATCAGTGTTTGCAAATATTTCAAAACTTCATTTGAGAATGTTTTGGTTAAGTCATTTTCAAGATTTCAAATTTAACTTACAGCTTCTTCCCATCCTGTCCTGATAACATATTCCAGGGACCTTTCCTCTTGTTCAAATATATTCTTACTGATGTTAAGAAGAGCATAAACTTGATTCTTCTCTCTCCTCTCATTTGGGTAGATACATTGCCACGTGCTTTCTCCTGCTTTTTCACTGCTTTTTTCTAAATCTAGTTCCTTCTTCTTGGAGGAGTTGATCATGGTTCCAGTACCCAAGCCTTGTATACTCTTTATAGCTGCAATTAAGATGGATGCTTAAACAATCAATCTGTCAATTATTTTCCAGATAGCCTACTTTTAATGCAATGGGTTTAGGGCTGCTGCCTCAACATTGACCTCCCTCATAACCCCATGGCCAAAAGGATTTTTTTTTAATCTAAAGAACCAGAATTGGCTATTTTATGCCAATCCCTTAGCATAGGCTGCTCTTTGAGCCACTTCTCCTAGCTCCCTTCCCACCTGCCTCCTCTCCTCTTAGGCTCCTTCGAGCCCCAGCCCTTGCTTCCTCACGCTCTCCCTCCACCAGACTCCCCCATACCCAATCTTAGTCTCTCCTGCCCCCCAGCTTCTCCCTGTCCCCCTCATCCCCCAACCTGTCTCTGTCCCCCAGCCCTCCCCC